GTCTGCACCCTTCCACAATTCTGCTCAAGGCCAAAGCTGGGCCAGGAAGAGGTGCTGATGCACCTTAAGAGAAGCAGGAGGAAACGGCTGTTTCTGCCACTGCCCGGACGCAGACAGGTCCCGCCTGGCCAGGTGGGCAGGTATTGCCAGCTACTGCGGACTTTGCAGGATAAAAAGTTGCCAGTAGTTGTTAAACGATTATGTACATGTGGCCTTTTAACATTTTTTGCAAGTCAGTGTATCCCATTTACAACGATGTCTAAATATATATGTATCTTGATAAAGACTGGAATGCACATGAAAATATTATTGTATTGAGGATTGAGGTTATTGAATAATTTTCTTTTTTGGCTTTATTAGTGTATAATTAGTATATAGAAATTACATACATTTAACATACATTTTTTAAATTTTAATATATTTCTATTGATTTCAGAGAGGAAGGGAGAGGGAGAAAAAGATAGAAACATCAATGATAAGAGAGAATCATGGATTGGCTGCCTCCTGCACGCCCCCTTACTGGGGACTGAGCCCACAACCCAGGCACATGCCCTGACTGGGAATCAGACTGTGACCTCCTGGTTCATGGGTTGATGCTCAACCACTGAACCACACCAGCCGGGCTAATGTCCACATCTTGATAAGTTTGGACAATGCATACACCCCAATCAAAGCACTAAACATGTCCATCACCTCCAAAAGTTTCCTTGTCTTCTTTTGTGGTGTTTTCTAGTTCGGGTTTTTGTTTGTTTTTTGTAAGAACACTTGACATGAGATCTAGCCTCTTAACATTTAACTGTAGGTACCATGTTGTACAGCAGATCTCTAGAACTTACTTATCTTGCATTTTGCATAATTTTTCATTAAAAATTATTAATCTCATAATATTATCTACACTAATAAAAGAGAAAAATGGTAATTGGCGTACGAAGCTACCCTTTTCATTGGCTAATCAGGGCTATATGCAAATTAACTGCCAACTCAGATGGCAGTTAACTGACAACAAAGATGGCGGTTAATTTGCATATGTAGGCACAATGCAGGG